AGGAGTGTGTATGTACATCCATGGACTGTTTGCCACAGTGTAACACTAGACAGGAGTTCGTATGTACATCCATGGACTGACAATCACAGTGTAACACTAGACAGGAGTGTGTATGTACATCCATGGTCTGTTTGCCACAGTGTAACACTAGACTGGAGCGTGTATGTGCATCCATGGACCGACTGCCACAGTGTAACACTAGACAGGAGTGTATGTACATCCATAGACTGACTGCCACAGTGTAACACTAGACAGGAGTTCGTATGTACATCCATGGACTGACTGCCTCAGTGTAACACTAGACAGGAGTGTGTATGTACATCCATGGTCTGTTTGCCACAGTGTAACACTAGACTGGAGTGTGTATGTGCATCCATGGACTGACTGCCTCAGTGTAACACTAGACAGGAGTGTGTATGTACATGCATGGACTGACTGCCACAGTGTAACACTAGACTGGAGTGTTTATGTACATGCATGGACTGACTGCCACAGTGTAACACTAGACTGGAGTGTTTATGTACATCCATGGACCGACTGCCACACTAGACAGGAGAATGTATGTACATCCATGGAATGTTTGCCACAGTGTAACTCTAGACAGAGTGTGTATGTACATCCATGGACTGACTGCCTCAGTGTAACACTAGACTGGAGTGTGTATGTACATCCATGGACTGACTATCACAGTGTAACACTAGACAGGAGTGTGTATGTACATCCATGGTCTGACTGTCACACTGGACAGGAGTGTGTATGTACATCCATGGACTGTTTGCCACAGTGTAACACTAGACAGGAGTGTGTATGTACATCCAGGTCTATTTGTCACAGTGTAACGCTAGACTGGAGTGTGTATGTGCATCCATGGACTGACTGCCTCAGTGTAACACTAGACAGGAGTGTGTATGTACATGCATCGACTGCCTGCCACAGTGTAACACTAGACAGGAGTGTGTATGTACATCAATGGACTGTTTGCCACAGTGTAACACTATACAGGAGTGTGTATGTACATCAATGGACCGACTGCCACACTAGGCAGGAGTGTGTATGTACATCCATGGTCTCTTTGCCTCAGCGTAACACTAGACAGAGTGTGTATGTACATGCATGGACTGACTGCCTCAGTGTAACACTAGACAGGAGTGTGTATGTACACCCATGGACTGTTTGCCACAGTGTAACACTAGACAGGAGTGTGTATGTACATCAATGGACCGACTGCCACACTAGACAGGAGTGTGTATGTACATCCATGGACTGTTTGCCACAGTGTAACACTAGACAGGAGTTCGTATGTACATCCATGGACTGACAATCACAGTGTAACACTAGACAGGAGTGTGTATGTACATCCATGGTCTGTTTGCCACAGTGTAACACTAGACTGGAGCGTGTATGTGCATCCATGGACCGACTGCCACAGTGTAACACTAGACAGGAGTGTATGTACATCCATAGACTGACTGCCACAGTGTAACACTAGACAGGAGTTCGTATGTACATCCATGGACTGACTGCCTCAGTGTAACACTAGACAGGAGTGTGTATGTACATCCATGGTCTGTTTGCCACAGTGTAACACTAGACTGGAGTGTGTATGTGCATCCATGGACTGACTGCCTCAGTGTAACACTAGACAGGAGTGTGTATGTACATGCATGGACTGACTGCCACAGTGTAACACTAGACTGGAGTGTTTATGTACATGCATGGACTGACTGCCACAGTGTAACACTAGACTGGAGTGTTTATGTACATCCATGGACTGTTTGCCACAGTGTAACACTAGACAGGAGTGTGTATGTACATCCATGGTCTGTTTGCCACAGTGTAAGACTAGACAGGAGTGTGTATGTACAACCATGGTCTGTTTGCCACAGTGTAACACTAGACAGAGTGTGTATGTACATCCATGGACTGACTGCCTCAGTGTTACACTAGACAGGAGTGTGTATGTACATCCATGGACTGACTGCCTCAGTGTAACACCAGACAGGAGTGTGTATGTACATCCATGGATTGATTGCCTCAGTGTTACACTAGACTGGAGTGTGTATGTACATCCATGGACTGACTGCCTCAGTGTAACACTAGACAGAGTGTGTATGTACATCCATGGATTGACTGCCACAGTGTAACAATAGACTGGAGTGTGTATGTACATCCATGGACTGTTTGCCACAGTGTAACACTATACAGGAGTGTGTATGTACATCAATGGACCGACTGCCACACTAGGCAGGAGTGTGTATGTACATCCATGGTCTCTTTGCCTCAGTGTAACACTAGACAGAGTGTGTATGTACATGCATGGACTGACTGCCTCAGTGTAACACTAGACAGGAGTGTGTATGTACATCCATGGACTGTTTGCCACAGTGTAACACTAGACAGGAGTGTGTATGTATATCAATGGTCTGACTGTCACACTGGACAGGAGTGTGTATGTACATCCATGGACTGTTTGCCACAGTGTAACACTAGACAGGAGTGTGTATGTACATCCAGGTCTATTTGTCACAGTGTAACGCTAGACTGGAGTGTGTATGTGCATCCATGGACTGACTGCCTCAGTGTAACACTAGACAGGAGTGTGTATGTACATGCATCGACTGCCTGCCACAGTGTAACACTAGACAGGAGTGTGTATGTACATCCATGGACTGTTTGCCACAGTGTAACACTATACAGGAGTGTGTATGTACATCAATGGACCGACTGCCACACTAGGCAGGAGTGTGTATGTACATCCATGGTCTCTTTGCCTCAGCGTAACACTAGACAGAGTGTGTATGTACATGCTTGGACTGACTGCCTCAGTGTAACACTAGACAGGAGTGTGTATGTACACCCATGGACTGTTTGCCACAGTGTAACACTAGACAGGAGTGTGTATGTACATCAATGGACCGACTGCCACACTAGACAGGAGTGTGTATGTACATCCATGGACTGTTTGCCACAGTGTAACACTAGACAGGAGTTCGTATGTACATCCATGGACTGACAATCACAGTGTAACACTAGACAGGAGTGTGTATGTACATCCATGGTCTGTTTGCCACAGTGTAACACTAGACTGGAGCGTGTATGTGCATCCATGGACCGACTGCCACAGTGTAACACTAGACAGGAGTGTATGTACATCCATAGACTGACTGCCACAGTGTAACACTAGACAGGAGTTCGTATGTACATCCATGGACTGACTGCCTCAGTGTAACACTAGACAGGAGTGTTTATGTACATCCATGGTCTGTTTGCCACAGTGTAACACTAGACTGGAGTGTGTATGTGCATCCATGGACTGACTGCCTCAGTGTAACACTAGACAGGAGTGTGTATGTACATGCATGGACTGCCTGCCACAGTGTAACACTAGACTGGAGTGTTTATGTACATGCATGGACTGACTGCCACAGTGTAACACTAGACTGGAGTGTTTATGTACATCCATGGACTGTTTGCCACAGTGTAACACTAGACAGGAGTGTGTATGTACATCCATGGTCTGTTTGCCACAGTGTAAGACTAGACAGGAGTGTGTATGTACATCCATGGTCTGTTTGCCACAGTGTAACACTAGACAGAGTGTGTATGTACATCCATGGATTGATTGCCTCAGTGTTACACTAGACAGAGTGTGTATGTACATCCATGGATTGACTGCCACAGTGTAACAATAGACTGGAGTGTGTATGTACATCCATGGACTGTTTGCCACAGTGTAACACTATACAGGAGTGTGTATGTACATCAATGGACCGACTGCCACACTAGGCAGGAGTGTGTATGTACATCCATGGTCTCTTTGCCTCAGTGTAACACTAGACAGAGTGTGTATGTACATGCATGGACTGACTGCCTCAGTGTAACACTAGACAGGAGTGTGTATGTACATCCATGGACTGTTTGCCACAGTGTAACACTAGACAGGAGTGTGTATGTATATCAATGGACCGACTGCCACACTAGACAGGAGTGTGTATGTACATCCATGGACTGTTTGCCACAGTGTAACACTAGACAGAGTGTGTATGTACATGCATGGACTGACTGCCTCAGTGTAACACTAGACTGGAGTGTGTATGTACATCCATAGACTGTTTGCCACAGTGTAACACTAGACAGGAGTTCGTATGTACATCCATGGACTGACTGCCTCAGTGTAACACTAGACAGGAGTGTGTATGTACATCCATGGACTGTTTGCCACAGTGTAACACTAGACAGGAGTGTGTATGTACATCAATGGACCGACTGCCACACTAGACAGGAGAATGTATGTACATCCATGGACTGTTTGCCACAGTGTAACACTAGACAGAGTGTGTATGTACATCCATGGACTGACTGCCTCAGTGTAACACTAGACTGGAGTGTGTATGTACATCCATGGACTGACTATCACAGTGTAACACTAGACAGGAGTGTGTATGTACATCCATGGTCTGACTGTCACACTGGACAGGAGTGTGTATGTACATCAATGGACTGTTTGCCACAGTGTAACACTAGACAGGAGTGTGTATGTACATCCAGGTCTATTTGTCACAGTGTAACGCTAGACTGGAGTGTGTATGTGCATCCATGGACTGACTGCCTCAGTGTAACACTAGACAGGAGTGTGTATGTACATGCATCGACTGCCTGCCACAGTGTAACACTAGACAGGAGTGTGTATGTACATCCATGGACTGTTTGCCACAGTGTAACACTATACAGGAGTGTGTATGTACATCAATGGACCGACTGCCACACTAGGCAGGAGTGTGTATGTACATCCATGGACTGACTGCCTCAGTGTAACACTAGACAGGAGTGTGTATGTACACCCATGGACTGTTTGCCACAGTGTAACACTAGACAGGAGTGTGTATGTACATCAATGGACCGACTGCCACACTAGACAGGAGTGTGTATGTACATCCATGGACTGTTTGCCACAGTGTAACACTAGACAGGAGTTCGTATGTACATCCATGGACTGACAATCACAGTGTAACACTAGACAGGAGTGTGTATGTACATCCATGGTCTGTTTGCCACAGTGTAACACTAGACTGGAGCGTGTATGTGCATCCATGGACCGACTGCCACAGTGTAACACTAGACAGGAGTGTATGTACATCCATAGACTGACTGCCACAGTGTAACACTAGACAGGAGTTCGTATGTACATCCATGGACTGACAATCACAGTGTAACACTAGACAGGAGTGTGTATGTACATCCATGGTCTGTTTGCCACAGTGTAACACTAGACTGGAGTGTGTATGTGCATCCATGGACTGACTGCCTCAGTGTAACACTAGACAGGAGTGTGTATGTACATGCATGGACTGCCTGCCACAGTGTAACACTAGACTGGAGTGTGTATGTACATGCATGGACTGACTGCCACAGTGTAACACTAGACTGGAGTGTTTATGTACATCCATGGACTGTTTGCCACAGTGTAACACTAGACAGGAGTGTGTATGTACATCCATGGTCTGTTTGCCACAGTGTAAGACTAGACAGGAGTGTGTATGTACATCCATGGTCTGTTTGCCACAGTGTAACACTAGACAGAGTGTGTATGTACATCCATGGACTGACTGCCTCAGTGTAACACTAGACTGGAGTGTGTATGTACATCCATGGACTGACTGCCTCAGTGTGACACTAGACAGGACTGTGCATGTACATCCATGGTCTGTTTGACACAGTGTAACACTAGACTGGAGCGTGTATGTACATCCATGGACTGACTGCCACACTTGACAGGAGTGTGTATGTACATCCATGGACTGACTGCCACAGTGTGACACTAGACAGGAGTGTGTATGTACATCCATTGACTGTTTGCCACAGTGTGACACTAGCCAGGAGTGTGTATGTACATCCATGGACTTACTGCCACACTAGACAGGAGCGTGTATGTACATTAAATGCCTGATACAGTCATATTAATACACTATGATACCCATGTGACTCAAATTATACTCATATGTATGTTACCCATGTGAATAACTATTCTACCCATTTGATTACTATCTTACCCATGTGATACACTATCTTACCCATGTGATACACTATGTTACCATTGGGATATAAGATGTAACCCGTGTGATACAATATCTTACCCATGTGATATACTATGTTACCAATGAGCTATACTATGTTACCATAGTGATAAACTGTTGCCCATGCGATAAACTATGTTACCTATGTGATATTTGATGTTGCCCATGCGATAAACTATGTTACCCATGTGATATTCTATGTTACCCATGTGATAAACTATGTTACCCATGTGATATACCATGTTGCTCATGTGATGAACTATGTTACCTATGTGATATTTGATGTTACCCATGTGATACAGTATGTTACCCATGTGATATATTATACTACTCATGTGATACAATATGTTACCCATGTGATATATCATGTTACCCATGTGATAAACTATGTTACCCATGTGATACAATATGTTCCCCGTGTGATATACCATGTTACACATGTGATAAACTATGTTACCTATGTGATTTTGATGTTACCCATGGTGATACAGTATGTTACCCATGTGGTATACTATGTTACCTATGTGATACAATATGTTACCCGCGTGATACAGTATGTTACCCATGTGATATACTATGTTACCTATGTGATACAATATGTTACCCTTGTGATACAGTATGTTACCCATGTGATTCAGTTCTCTTTTCTTCATCAGTTTTGGGGCAACGTTTACTTCCCTGTTATTGATCATCTCTTTATAACGCTGAAAGCTGCCTATCTGGCTTCCCTGTTGACCTCGTTGTACTGCGAAGCTAGCATCTGACATTACCCTCTGAGCTTCTTCCATGGCTTGAGCCTCGAAATAATTAACAACTTTTTTCAGCGTATCTGATGCGTCTTCAGCTCATCTGCCATAACGCCCGAGCTCTTTTTGTTTGTTTTCTTCAGATTTTGTGCAATCAACTAGGATATCCGTCTGTTGGTAAGTCTGAAAACTGTCTGGTCGAACAACAGATCCACCAATTCGAAGATTGTCAATACACTGGCACCAACAAATAAACCCATGGATCCGCCAATGTCACCTGTGGAATAAAATATAGCACAATATCATACACGTGGACGGCTTCACTGTGCAATCTGGCCCTGACGAACATTGGGGATGACTCTGAGAACATGATATACCACTCACAATGGTCATGCCACACTCAGCAGCCATTGTGGTCATCTGATCCCCCATGTTAGTTCTGGTTGCGATAAGCAAACACTAGCTGCGTTGAACAATCTCAGCATATTGAACACTTCATTGTAAATAATATGTGTTTGTTTCTTGCTTAACGCCACACTCTGCAATATCCCAGCTATATGACGGCGGTCTGTAAAATAATCGAGTATGGACCAGGCAATCCAGTGATTGATATCATGAGCATCGATCCACACAATCGGATTACGATGACATACATCCACCAAGTCAGCGAGCCTGACCACCCGATCCCGTTAGTCGCCTCTTACGACAAGCACAGTCGCCTTTTACGGCAAGTATGGGTTGCTGAAGACCTATTCTATTCTTCACATGTCTGTAAATAATGTATTAACGATGATGAATACATACATACAGACAGACATAACTCAAATAACATGACTTAACGGCGCTGGCAATAGTACTTTTGGTATGTCACTGCGAGTTGGCTGGAAGTCCAAAGAGATGTGTGGGGTAGATGTTGTTTTCGTGATTGTTATTAAGGGATCAATAAAATTGTTAGTTATTATATCTACCGTATTTCATAAGTATTATGAATGAAGTTGGAACATTAGTGCCCCAGTCGGGTAAGGTGCCAAAAAGTGCAGTGCCGGAGTTGCGCCCCTTAGGCGTGCCAGGAACTTGTGATTACGGGTTAGAATCCAAGATGCGCACTGATTATGTTTCTAGGTTTGTCAGCACCTCACATGTGCTTGTGCCTTTGTCTAAACCTGAATTGATTCGGGTTTTACTCCAACATCAAGGTGACATGCTATGTGGTATAACTGTAACATTGTTAAAACCCGCGTTTAGGGGGCACGGTTGGCCCAGTCGTCTAAGGCGCCGCGATTCGCTGTGCAGAGTTGCGCCCCTTGGGCACGCCAGAAACGTATGATTCGGGGTTCGAATCCCGGTTCGCCCCAATTTTGTTTCTAGGTTTGTCAGCACCATACCCGTGCTCGTGGGTTTCACCGAAGGGGTAAACGTCTGAGACCTGCATCACTTCTTGCTTTCCTCCCACATTAAGCTGACACGCCTTGATATAACTGGAATACTGTTTAAAGCGGCGTTAAACCCAACTCACTCACTGAAACCCGCGATTAAGCAAACTCAGTCACTTATAAACTCACTGAATTATTTGTCACACAAATTGTATTTCCTACTTACATAACAGGGAAAACATGTCGTATGCAACCTGTTGGGTGATCTGTTCGTAACTTCGCTCGCGGTAAAATATATCCAACTGAAGGAAGTTTTCTCTGAAAAAAATACAGAATCGGTCACATTTACAAACAAATAATGCTGCACAGCACAGATATAAAGATCCATTGATAATACTCTGACACTTGATAATATTGTAACATGTGATACTGGATAATACTGTAACATGTGATACTTGATTATACTGTGACACTGGATAATACTGTAACATGTGATACTTGATTATACTGTGACACTTGATAATACTGTAACATGTGACACTGGATAATACTGTAACATGGGATGTTTGATCATACTGTGACACTTGATAATACTGTAACATATGAAAGTTGATAAAAGTGTAACTTGTAATACTGGATAATACTGTAACATGTGACACTGGATAATACTGTAACATGTGACACTTGATAATACTGTAACATGTGATATTTGATCATACTGTCGCGCGTGACAGTTGATAATCTGCAACATGTAATACTTGCTACTACTGTAACGTGATAATAAATAAATACTGTAACGTGGAGATATATAGATCCCCACCGGGTGGATCTTGCACCAACACACGTGTCTGTGTCAGCATCCCTGCACCAACCACCACCGAGAATCATCAGTTTGAAAACCAACACAACTTCCTATTTTGAAGAAAACTGAGTAGCCCTTCCGAGAGACTTTTGTGTTAGACACAAAGCCTTGCTTTATTCTATTCTATTGCCAGAATACTGCTGAACACGGCGTCAAACAACCAACAGGCCAAACACACATATACTGTGTATACTGATATACTATATTTATATCTAAAATCGGAGTTAGGAATCAATTTCTTGACACCATACCTGCCTGGAATCAACCATGCAAAGCGCCAATGTGCCATGAGTAAGTGAGTGAGTGAGTATGGTTTTACGCCGCTTTTAGCAATATTCCAGCAATATCACGACGGGGGACACCAGAAATTGGCTTCACACATTTTACCCATGTCGGAAATCGAACCCGGGTCTTCGGCGTGACGAGCAAACGCTTTGACCACTAGGCTACCAGTCCGCCCCAAATGCGTCATGACATAAGCTCAATTGAGGAGTGCGCCCGGAGAGCGGAAGGTCCGGGGTCCGATCCCCGGCCGCGTCATACCAAAAGGCGTTAAAAGATGGTACTTGTTGTTACCCTGTCTGACGCTCGGCATTAAGGGGCTAAAACAAGGACTGGTGGGCTCGGAGTCAGTATACTGTGTCTGAGTGGGGTATTCATGTTAAACTGCGGCATGGTATCTCAGTGTGCTAGCACTATAAATCGGCATCAGTCCGGACTAGTACAAGCAGCCACACACACACACAGACACACACACAGACACACACACACACACACACACACACACACACACACACACACACACACACACACACACACACGTGCATGCACGTCGCTATATAAGTGCAATAATCTTGGACGCGACGTTAAACCCCATTTGACCTCACCTCACCTAAATTGAGGCAAGGTGAAATGGGGTATAACGTCGCTTTCAAGACTATTGCAGTTATATAGCGAAGCACATGCATGTGTGTGCGTGCGTGCGTGCGTGCGCGTGTGTGTGTCTACCTGTACTTGAACGGTTTTACATAACTAGCCAACTCCGATTCCATGCTGCAGTTTATCATGGATACTCCGCTCAGACAGGATACCGACTCAAAACCGACCAGTCCTGGTTTTATTCCCATAATGACGAGCGCTAGGCAGGGTAACAACAAGTAACATCTTTAAACGCCTTTTGGTATGACACGGCCAGAGGATCGACACACCAACCTTCCGCTCTATCCACTAAGCCACGGAGGCGGTCAGTTCATTTGAACCTTCGGGTTAGCTAATATGGCATCCTAGCATTATGAACTTACTGTATGAACTTGGAGTCGACCTTGCTGGAATGAAGATATGCCGTCATAAGCTCCATGAGATCTTCCAGACTCTTCAAGAAGGTGCTGTCAGCGGTGCCGACTAGGAACCGGAAGTCAAAGGCACTCCTGTATTCCATGTAGGTTGCCTCAATTTCTTCAGCTACATCAGATATATTTTGCAAGAAACGCGTCATTTGTTTATATTCATAATATTTTGTCATATCTTCGTCATTTAGGATTGAACTCCAGATATCTGTTGTTGATTGGATCAAATCTAACCAACCATCGTACACATTCTGACCACGTGACCTTACTTCTTGAAAAAATATTTTCATGCTGCTGATTCCCTCGTATATAATAGGAGCAGTCAAAACACGGGCCACTTCCAACTTACTGATGTTTCCATATGTAAAATAATTATTTGCGAGGCCTAATCCGCCATCCAAGTTATCAATAATTGATGATTTTAACGAATTTAACGAAAACTTCAAACTTGCAACGTTGTCCATCATTTCTTTCACATGTGTCGTAAATGATCGATGATATGCTTCAAATGTCTCAATGCGCTCTCGAAGAGTCCGGAGAGGGTAATCTATAGATTCGAAGTAGAACGTTGCTTTACTGAAGTAATAAGTTCTTCCACGATACATAAAGTTAATATTCGTAAGGTGAAGTTCGGTCATATTAAGCGTGTTGGTGTAATAAGCTGTATCAGCTAGATCGACATATCTTAGCAGGGCGTCTTTGAATTTGAGAATATCCTTGCCCACTCTTCCGCTGTATTTGACTGCGTAGGGGGAGTAGAGGAGTGACTGACGAAGGAGGACGTGGGGGCCGATGTAGATGTTGTCGTCCCTGCTCTCATTACGGTACCTGTACCTGAACACAGGACTAGCGTTATAGTACGCGTCGTACAATTGGGTGTAGTTATCATAAGCTCTGTCTGCTAGATCTATACGCCCCCCTAGTTCATTCAGAGTCAGAATATGAAGGGCCTGTCTTACTTCCGGGGATGATATGGACGAGTTGGCAAGCTGCTTGATTTTGGATTCAATCTGGTAGGCGTATTCTTGAAACCCCATGGCGAGATAGTTGAATGTCCTTTCTTCCATTGCTTGCCTTACTCTCATGAAGTTCTTTTGGACGATGTATTCCTGCCAGCTGTACAGATGCATCTTCGCATCCCACGACGCCAGCGTGTCGTTCAAGATGGAGGAGAGGATCTGTTCCTGTTCTATGATGTTTGTCTCTACTTCTTCAAACATCACCTTCTTCAAGATGTTCAATCGTTCCTGTACGTCACTTTCCATTAAATTGAATTTGTCGAACTGGGAGCGGTCCATTCGACTAGTTGTCTCCCTTGCTTCCATGAACCGCTTCTGAAGGTTCTCAACACCGGACGATAGGAGTTTGTCGGTGGCGTACACTGACGTGGTGGCGAAGGAGATGGTGGGGTCGAAGATGAGGAAGAAGCAGGGGATGGGACAGCCACATTCTCGTCTGACCTTCACCTTCACATCGCCTGCAACAGTAACAGTGCGCAACGTGAGAATCGCCAACACGTGTCATGACGAGACTGACAGAGACTTAAAAGGGTCTATATAATCAAGGTCAGACCCCATTTATACTTTGCGTGTTTTCAGACCCAGTTTGGTCCAACAGAAACTTGATTGGCAAAGATTGATCTGATAACCTAAGAATTCACTATGAGAAAACAACGTGAATGAAAATTGAAGCGAAAGTTACAAATGCACAAACGCAGGTTCTGAAATGACTGTTTCTTGACGTAAATTGACGTAGCTGTGGAGAACTAGAGAAAACACAACAACGGGACATGAAAAGTAAATATCGATCACTGAACGTTCAGTGGCGTTTATTGTATCCGTTTCGTAATTTGATGCATCAACACAATGACAATGTGGTTCCAACCCATTCTTTCTACTTACCAATAATCTTATCATAGCAGGAGTAAAATTGTTCCAGGGTGCAGATCGGTGGTGTGTCTGTAACAGAAATAAGACACACTGTATCAGTCAAACACCCAACAAGTTCATATTTAACCGAAGGTATGCACGTCGTATCAGTCATACATTACATTAATCATCCGCTACCGACCTAATGCCATCTTCCCGAGGCAAGGGAATTAACTGACTGTAAAAGTCCGGTTGAAACTAGACTTATGTAGTCAGTTTATCCTTGCCTCGGGAAGATGACCTAATGCAAACCAAAGCATAAATTACCATAAGTTATGACTTCAGAAGATGCTAGAAACATCTATCAAAATCTATTGTTTCGTTCCAGTCTAACGTAATCATGTTCTCTTCTTCTCTAATGTGATGATGAACTCTTTGTTTCAATGTGTACCGTACATATTCACAATTCACGTGCACGCCCAGCATCTCTGTTCATTGCCAGGAATAATTTAACAGATGATGCTATATATCTCACATTCATACCACACCATCCATTGTGACTACATGACTATCATGTTCATCAATCGCCACAGTCACATTCACCATCAGCTAAACTTATATATATATAAAATGGTGTCATATTCAAAGTTTAAACGTTGATAAAGTTTGACAATGTAATTATCTTCCCTAGGCAAGGGAGTTAACTGACTATAAAAGTCCAGTTTCTACCTGCTGGACTAACGAGTCTATGCATAGTCCAATCAAAGTCACAAAAACAAATCGACATCCGGTTTAAAAACTGTGGTGCAAATTTCGGTCGAGTGCAGGATTTGTAAAACAAGTGTAACGCTAACTCGGCGAGAACAGATATTTTCTATTTGTTTTCATGTTTTTATGCAAGGTGCTCACGTGATTTGATCCACTTTGCGAAGTAATACTATGACAATATAGATCTTGATGATCGATCAGATCGTCCTGACTGGGCTCCGCCATTTTGTTGGAAGCAAATGCAAGAGATATATCAGAGGTGGAATCTGATTGGTCAGTAGGAGAGGCATAGAAGGGACATAACTCGTTATAGCCACTGGTAGCGCTACCTTCGAATCCAGAAATTCCGGTCTTGTTCGGCAAGAGTTGAAACTGGACTTTCACAGTCAGTTAACGCCCTTGCCTCGGGAAGATGAGATGTAATATCAAATATCTGATCAACTCGCCATCTATGTTTCACATTCAACGATTTCGTATATTTTCTCAACTCACCATCTGCTTAACAATCAACAATTTCTCCTATTTCCCAACTCACCATCTATGTCTCACATTCAACGATTTCTTATACTTTCTCAGCTCACCATCGACGTTCGGCATGTAGTGATGACGACATCCACACTCCTCATCCAGGATCTTTGTCATGCAGGTCAGCTGACAGGCGTCAGTGGAGTACATGTTGTAGTACTCCGACTCGGCAACGCCACAGTCGCCGTGGGGCTTCGGGAGGTTCTTTATCTGCGAAGGGATCACACATGTACACACCCATCACGCATGGTCAGGGTGCCTTTGTACAAAACAACCCTGGCGCTACGACTGTCGTAAGTCTATTTTAGGTATGGGAGTTACGATCACCCTAGCGCTAAGATCGCTTTGTACAACGCCACCCCGAATCACCAAGTGTGTAAGACAATAAGGTGAGATGAGGTGAAATGGGGTTTAACGTCGCGTCCAAGACTTTTGCATAGCGACATGCACATGAGAGTATATGGCTGCTTGCACTATTCCGGACTGATGCTTGCCGAAGTTTAACATGAATGCCCCACTCAGACACAGTATACTGACTCAGAGCCGATCAATCCTTGTTTTAGCTCAATAATGCCGAGCGCCAGGCAGGGTAACAGCAAATACCATCTTTTAACGTCTTTTAGTATGATGCGACCGGGAATCGAAACCCTCTCCTGGCCGACGCTCTACCACTACCACGGATGCGGTCAAGACTCTAAGGCTTTCGCAGGCGTCATTAATAGTTATATTAAGTAAATAAAGAAATTGGAAAATGTCTGTTGTTCTGCAGTGATTGACTGACACAAGAGTGACTATGAGTGAGTATTGTCTTACGTGACTTGTATCAATATTACAGCCCAATCATGCTAGAAGTCTGACAAGAATGAGATTCAGTCATTGTACCGTATTGGGAATAGAACCCGGGATTCGGCGTGACGAGGGATCGCTCTAACCACTAGGCCACCCCACCGTCCGCATATATATCACATCTGCACATTTTATTCATATACTAATGGACAAAAGTAGCAGTGCTTCATATAAAGTAGTGAAAATGGACGGTATTAAACATAACAACATGATATTTGGTCATTCGTCTGATCAATGTTTCATCATAGCAAATTCGTAGACAAAACCCCTACCTGGTACAAGGATGAAGTCAATTAACTCGATTAACAATATCAATATCGGGTGATACGGGCGAAGCAGCGGCGGTGCATTGAAGACACCAGATGATTGAAAACAGTCTTGTTATTTGGCCATCTGAGATGGCGTTACCGGGTGGTTCTGCTCCTGTCGTAGGGTTCGCTCCATCGTATCCCAGACATGTTCTATAGGAGAGAAGTCTGGAGAAACAGGCTGACATGGCAGTACAGCAATGCTATGCTGCCTCACAAGTCCGTTACAGCACGTGCAACATGTGGGCTGGCATTATCCTGCTGCAACGTGACGTTACGTCCCTGTATTTGCACAAAGGGTAGAACATGATCTCGAACGGTAGCGTACGCCATTCAAACTGCCATAAACAATGATGAGTTGTGTTCTCCCATGAGTTGTGGTGCCACCGCATACTATTACACTTCCACCCAAAACGCACGACGTTGATTAACGCCAGCATCACTGAAACGTTCTTCTGGACGCTTGTAGACTCTTGCACGACCATCAGAGCTGTTCAGATGAACTGAACTAATTTGTCAAGAGTATACTGTCCCAGTCTTTTCGTCTGAACCTCAGATGTTGTCTGCACCAAGCTGAAGGTAACATGGAAGCAAAATTGGGCGTATCGCTGGACGTCATGGCCAGATGTGCTCCCTCAACAGCTCTGCGTACAGTTCTGTCACTTAGAGACCGACCAAACAAATTCAGGCTCAAATTTTTAAATATTTGGTTTTGTAGCTGTAGCTGAAAAATATCTACAGTCAACTACGGTTATAACGAACTACTGTTATAACGAACTCAAAGGGACTACTATTTTTAGTTCGTTATAACCGTAGTTTGTTATAAGCATATATACAGCATAACCACAGCAACTAGTCGGGACTAAAAAGTAAGTTCGTTATATCCGTCAGTTCGTTATAAGCGTGTTCGTTATAACCGTAGTTTACTGTATTCTCGATACAACATCCCAGCCCCCAGAATATGAAGTATTCTGTCCCTTATTGGCCTTAACCCCGAAATGGTCCGAGCTTGTAATGTGGCAGTTGGGTATCCATTTTGTAGACGTACCAACCGAATTTGGTTGTCTTGACGTGACGTCACACGTGGACGACCTGCTCGTGGCAAGTCGTTAGTGTTGCCCTGTAGATAACGCCTCCAATGAGATGATACTGTGTTTTTAACGGAACATTGACATGTCTTGCAACTACGTTTTGCGCAATTCCTGTTTACAGCATACCCACTGCTCGTAGACGTTGATATTCAGCAAGCCGAGACATTGCGTTAGCATTATGACTATATATGGAAAGATGCATTATCTAATTTCAGAATAAAAATATTTTTATTGAATTTTATATGAAGCACAGTTACCTTTTCATAAATAATGGGGGCGGTCGGGTAGCCTAGTGGTTAAAGCGTTCGCTCGTCACGCCGAAGACCCGGGTTCGATTCCCGACATGGGTACAACGTGTGAAGCCCATTTCTGGTGTCCCCCGCCGTGATATTGCTGGAATATTGCTAAAAGCGGCGAAAACCATATTCACTCACTCACTCATAAATAATGTCCATGATTGCTTAGACAATTCGTCATAAACCGAAACAAAATAAATATATATACAATGTCAAAAAGTATCTTCTTTATATGCGCGTTCATCAGCACATACAATATATACAGTTACGCACGAGTGGGAACTATACTACACAAAAGAAGTTAAAGAACTCACGATTCTTTCATAGAACTAGAGTGAATCTGTCGTGGCATAACTATAGATTAACTATAGTGATATAAAAATGGGTCTTTCTTAACTTCTTTTGAGTAGCATATATCCAAGTTGAATGTGAAACGTGAAACATCCACATACATACCGAGACCAACTGGATTCCGATGAAGGCGTGCGAGCCAGTGGGAATAGCAAGGCCAAGCTCGTGCACTTTAGGGAACTCTTTTCTGTCGTGTAGTAGCAATTTAACACCAGCTGCGTCATGAGGTCCCGGCATGTATTCATACTGCTCCACGTTCAACGTCAGTTTCAGGCCATAGTCGGAGCCTGTGGGTAGACCTCTCATTTCAACATTCACCACTGGTACTTAAACTTTATTCTTTAGGTATGAATCGGGTACCTCTAGAAATCTTTCCTTTAAAAGTGAATGATTAAGTTGGGTCTTACGCCGTTTTGGGCATTTTTTCAGCAACATCACGACGGTGACACCAGAGGTGGGCTTCACACATTTTACCTATATGAGGAGGAACCCGGGCCTTCGGCATGACGAGCGAACACTTTAACCACTAGGCTACCCCTTCTCTTTAAGAATCCATCTCAGGGAGGGTCGTGTACATAAGATGTATGTATACAGTTCATATAGTCGTTAAGGCGTTCGCTCGTCACGCCGAAGACCCGGGTTCGATTTCCGACATGGGTACAATGTCGAAAGCCAATTTCTGGTGTCCCCCGCCGTGATATTGCTAAAAGCGGCGTAAAATCAAACTCACTCACTCACTCACTCACTCGTGTGCAAACATAAACACGTTCTTGAGTAAGCATGTTTATATGTAGTTCAGCAGTTGGAGGGGATCATCTCGATGATTAATCAATTAACTCCATGGAACACTCTTTAGACAAGCCTAGTCAGTCATAATGTTACGTTAGTCTCTGTATTTTCCATGCAGTTTGCACCTGGTTGTCACATTTACCTCAGCTCTACCGTTCAACCAGCATATCGTAGGACGGCTACAGTGACTATCAAACATACTCGCTGAGGTGCCCACCAGACCTATCTGCTGAAGTAACCACCAGACCTATCTGCTGAGGTGACCACCAGACCTATCTGCTGAAGTAACCACCAGACCTATCTGCTGAGGTGACCACCAGACCTACCTGCTGAAGTAACCACCAGACCTACCTGCTGAAGTAACCACCAGACCTACCTGCTGAAGTGACCACCAGACCTAACTGCTGAAGTAACCACCAGACATACCTGCTGAAGTAACCACAAGACATACCTGCTGAAGTGACCACCAGACATACCTGCTGAAGTAACCACCAGACCTACCTGCTGAAGTAACCACCAGACCTACCCGCTGAAGTGACCACCAGACCTAACTGCTGAAGTAACCACCAGGCCTACCTGCTGAAGTAACCACCAGACCTACCTGCTGAAGTAACCACCAGACATACCTGCTGAAGTAACCACCAGACCTACCTGCTGAAGTAACCACCAGACTAACCTGCTGAAGTAACCACCATATATACCTTCTGAAGTGACTACCAGGCCTACCTGCTGAAGTGACTACCAGACATACCTACTGAAGTGACTACCATACATACCTGCTGAAGTAACCATCATATATACCTGCTGAAGTGACTATCAAACATACCTGCTGAAGTGACCAACAGACATACTTGCTGAAGTAACCACCATACACACCTGCTGAAGTGACTATCAAACATACCTGCTGAAGTGACTACCAGACATACCTGCTGAAGTGACTACCAGACATACCTGCTGAAGTGAACACCAGATATACCTGCTGAAGTGACTACCAGACATACCTGCTGAAGTGAACACCAGATATACCTGCTGAAGTGACTATCAAACTTACCTGCTGAAGTGACTACCAGATATACCTGCTGAAGTGACTACCAGACATACCTGCTGAAGTGAACACCAGATATACCTGCTGAAGTGACTACCAGACCTACCTGCTGAAGTAACCACCATATATACCTTCTGAAGTGACTACCAGACCTACCTGCTGAAGTGACTACCAGACATACCTACTGAAGTGAACACCAAATAAACCTGCTGAAGTGACTACCAGACATACCTGCTGAAGTGACTACCAGACATACCTGCTGAAGTGAACACCAGATATACCTGAAGTGACTACCAGACATACCAGCTGAAGTGAACACCAGATATACCTGCTGAAGTGACTATCAAACATACCTGCTGAAGTGACTACCAGATATACCTGCTGAAGTGACTACCAGACATACCTGCTGAAGTGAACACCAGATATACCTGCTGAAGTGACTACCAGACCTACCTGCTGAAGTAACCGCCATACACACCTGCTGAAGTAACCACCATACACACCTGCTGAAGTAACCACCATACACACCTGCTGAAGTAACCACCATACACACCTGCTGAAGTAACCACCATATATACCTTCTGAAGTAACCACCATACACCCCTCCTGAAGTAACCACCATACACACCTGCTGAAGTAACCACCATACACACCTGCTGAAGTAACCACCATACGTACCTGCTGAAGTAACCACCATACATACCTGCTGAAGTGACTATCACAAATACCTGCTGAAGTGACCACCATACATACCTGCTGAAGTAACCACCATACATACCTGCTGAAGTGACCACCATACATACCTGCTGAAGTAACCACCATACATACCTATTGAAGTGACTACCAGACCTACCTGCTGAAGTGACTACCAGACATACCTGCTGAAGTGAACAACAGATCTACCTGTTGAAGTGACTACCAGACCTACCTGCTGAAGTGACTACCAGACATACCTGCTGAAGTGAACAACAGATCTACCTGCTGAAGTGACTACCAGACCTACCTGCTGAAGTAACTACCAGACATACCTACTGAAGTAACCACCATATATACCTACTTAAGTGACTACCAGACCTACCTGCTGAAGTGACTACCAGACCTACCTGCTGAAGTAACTACCAGACATACCTACTGAAGTAACCACCATATATACCTACTGAAGTGACCACCAGACATACCTGCTGAAGTGGCCACCAGACCTACCTGTTGAAGTGATCACCAGACCTACCTGCTGAAGTAACCACCATACATACCTGCTGATGTAACCACCAGACATACCTGCTGAAGTGACCACCATACATACCTTCTGAAGTGACTACCAGACATACCTGCTGAAGTGACCACCATACATACCTTCTGAAGTGACTATCAGACCTACCTGCTGAAGTGAACACCATATATACCTGCTGAAGTGACTACCAGACCTACCTACTGAAGTGAACACCAGACCTACCTGCTGAAGTAAACACCAGACATATCTGCTGAAGTGACTACAAGACCTACCTGCTGAAGTAACCACCATATATACTTTCTGAAGTGACTACCAGACCTACCTGCTGAAGTGACTACCAGACATACCTACTGAAGTGACCACCACATATACCTACTGAAGTGACCACCAGACATACCTGCTGAAGTGACTACCAGACCTACCTGCTAAAGTGACTACCAGACCTACCTGCTGAAGTGACTACCAGACATACCTGCTGAAGTGAACAACAGACCTACCTGTTGAAGTGACCACCAGACCTACCTACTGAAGTGACTACCAGACCTACCTGCTGAAGTGAACAACAGACCTACCTGTTGAAGTGACCACCAGACCTACCTGCTGAAGTGAACACCATATATACCTTCTGAAGTGACTACCAGACCTACCTGCTGAAGTGACTACCAGACATACCTACTGAAGTGACTACCATACATACCTGCTGAAGTGACCACCATACATACCTACTGAAGTGACCACCACATAAACCTACTGAAGTGACCACCAGACCTACCTCCTGAAGTGACTACCAGACCTACCTGCTAAAGTGACTACCAGACCTACCTGCTGAAGTGACTACCAGACATACCTGCTGAAGTGAACAACAGACCTACCTGTTGAAGTGACCACCAGACCTACCTGCTGAAGTGAACACCATATATACCTTCTGAAGTGACTACCAGACCTACCTGCTGAAGTGACTACCAGACATACCTACTGAAGTGACTACCATACATACCTGCTGAAGTGACCACCATACATACCTACTGAAGTGACCACCACATATACCTACTGAAGTGACCACCAGACATACCTGCTGAAGTGACTACCAGACCTACCTGCTAAAGTGACTACCAGACCTACCTGCTGAAGTGACTACCAGACCTACCTGCTGAAGTGAACACCAGACCTACCTACTGAAGTGACTACCAGACCTACCTGCTGAAGTGAACAACAGACCTACCTGTTGAAGTGACCACCAGACCTACCTGCTGAAGTGAACACCATATATACCTTCTGAAGTGACTACCAGACCTACCTGCTGAAGTGACTACCAGACATACCTACTGAAGTGACTACCAGACCTACCTGCTGAAGTGAACAACAGACCTACCTGTTGAAGTGACCACCAGACCTACCTGCTGAAGTGAACACCATATATACCTTCTGAAGTGACTACCAGACCTACCTGCTGAAGTGAACACCAGACCTACCTGCTGAAGTGACCACCAGACCTACCTGCTGAAGTGACCACCAGACCTACCTGTTGAAGTGACTACCAGACCTACCTGCTGAAGTGACTACCAGACCTACCTACTGAAGTGACTACCAGACATACCAACTGAAGTGAACACCATACATTACTGCTGAAGTGACCACCAGACATACCTGCTGAAGTGACCATTAAGGGGTCGTCGTCTGCAGCGTTGAAGGAGTAGCACACGCCGTGGTCAGTGAATACCTTCGTGAAGTTTTCTGCAGAGCAACCAGACCTACCTGCTGAAGTGACTACCAGACCTACCTACTGAAGTGACTACCAGACCTACCTGCTGAAGTGACTACCAGACATACCTGCTGAAGTGAACAACAGATCTACCTGTTGAAGTGACCACCAGACCTACCTACTGAAGTGACTACCAGACCTACCTGCTGAAGTGACTACCAGACCTACCTGCTGAAGTGACTACCAGACCTACCTACTGAAGTGACTACCAGACCTACCTGCTGAAGTGACTACCAGACCTACCTACTGAAGTGACTACCAGACATACCAACTGAAGTGAACACCATACATTACTGCTGAAGTGACCACCAGACATACCTGCTGAAGTGACCATTAAGGGGTCGTCGTCTGCAGCGTTGAAGGAGTAGCACACGCCGTGGTCAGTGAATACCTTCGTGAAGTTTTCTGCAGAGCAACTCTTGTCCTGCCACTCACACCTGGGAACACACAAGGAAGTAGAATGTCACACGTAAACCCAGCATAAACATTATCACTCAGCTGCACCACAAGGTTATTCCACACTGGGCTTGCCTCGAGTTGCACTGCCGACAGCCAGTGTGTGGCATTCTGTAAGCGGCCCCGGCTCATATGAATGCGTAAATATATATTGTCAATGAAAGATAATAACCAGTCTGACTGAGTGGGGTTTAACGCCGCTTTTAACAGTATTCCAGTTCTATCACGGTGTGTCAGCTTAATGTGGAAGACAGGCCCGGAGTGATGCATGTCTCAGGCGTTTACCACTTCGGTGAAACCCACGAGCACGGGTATGGTGCTTACAAACCTAGAAACATAATCAGGACGAACCGGGATTCGAACATAGGTTTCTGGCGTGCCCAGGGGACGCAACCCTGCACAGCGAATTGCGGCGCCTTAGACGACTGGGCCACCCGTGCCCCCTAATAACCAGTCTGGATTATCCACCGAAACATATAAGGTCAAAGTAGCTGTGAAAAATATATGCATGGACCACTGTGAATCAGTGATGACACCAGGTGTTCGCGCAAAAGGTACCATGTCCTACCGACAGCAGGTTATCATATTGCGAGGCCGAAATACAACTAGTCTTCCATAGGTACCATCATTCAGCATTCATTGCCATAATGGTAAGAGTTTACATTATTGCTGAAACACTCACTAGGCTGCACGAGCCAAAGTGAACGCCGCTTAATTCTATCGAAGAAACCCAGCCATCATCTGACCCTCTGCTTTGTGGGAGACCGTGCTGATAGTCCCTTACTGATGTTCCGCCATGGCAGTTACTACGACATTGAGCCACAGCACGTCATGATGGTAGGTCCCGCTATTACATGTTTGTAACCATAAATAACGTCATTGTTAGTCTGACGCCGATATCGTGTTCTGACACATCACCTTGGCTACTGAAGCAACGCTGACCCCGTGGTAGTCCCCAGACGGCGTTTACGACATTACATCACGACATAACATGAGGCCACATACATATTTATATCGTAAATAATTCGGCAATAGTCTAGCTTCAAGCCGTTAGCTCCTCTAAGTCATACACTTGAGCCCTGATACACAACCGTTTACCAATATCTGTCATAACGACCATGGCATCAGCATCTTTGAGATGCAGCTGTGGGAAGCTAGGACCAACCTGGGACCCTCTACTCACACAGCAGGGATGTTATCAACTCTGTAGGAATTAGGGTTATTGACCTCTGGATGAAATCTCTGCTTCCCCGACAATATAATCGGCTCACTCAGCAATTATGAAGCAAATGGACCCATTGATCAACCAGTACATTAATTTTAATCCTTTACTGCAATCATCCTATGTGTGATAAACGACTGGGATTCGTCCCATCATATTCGATTCTTGTAGATACGAGCTAGACATCGTTTCATGTCTTGGCAGTTCTGAAAGTCTTAGTTGCGTATGTGGTCTATGATGAGTGTGTTGCTTTTTTAACGCCTCTTTTCATAATATTCCAGTTATATCACGGCATTCCAGGGCGTTGGAGGAAAGTCCGAAGTGATGCAGGTCTCAGACTTTTACCACTTTGGTGAAACCCACGAGCACGGGTATGGTGCAGACAAACCTAAAAACATAATCGGGGCGAACCGGGATTCGAACCCACAATCAAAAGTTTCTGGTGTGCCCAAAGGGACGTAACTCTGCACAGTGAATTCGGCGCCTCTGGCAATTGGGCCACCCGTGCCCGCTGTTCTATGGCATGTATATGATATGTGTCTATGTATTGGGTTGTGTACCGGTCTGGTGTACCTATATACACATATGTTCTCTCATCCCCGATAGTCCAGGGTTTTATATATCTATTCCATTATGATAAACCCATGCGCCACCAAAGCTTCTTTTTGAGTTCATTTCGAATGACACGACGCTAAGAAAAGTCAACCGATCAAATTACACGATATTAATAACAGGAAGTCAGTATAGAGGAAGTACATGACTCGTGTTGTTATGTAGTATGTACCGTACCAAATACATCAGGGGACGCCTGGTTGAATGATTACTACCCTCGCCCTTGACCCAAGAAAACATCTTTTCCAGCTAGAAGTTAATTCTGATTCGTAGTAAATGTATCCTGGGCCCGAACGAGGTCGCTGGTCGAGTGAGTGAGTATGGTTTTACGCCGCTTTTAGAAGTATTCCAGCAATATCACGGCGGGGGACGCCAGAAATGGGCTTCACAAATTGTACCCATGTCGGGAATCGAACCCGGGTCTTCGGCGTGACGAGCGAACGCTTTAACCACTAGGCTACCCGACCGCCCCTTCCGCTGGTTTGAACTTTGGTCATTGCCTGATCCTCGTTAAGAGTATCATTTTGATACGTTGAGTTCAAGTTTATCATCACAGAAGTTCTGTGCTGGGCTAGTGATACGGGGAACGGAGATCATGACGTCACAACGCCTTGGTGGCGCAAGGGTCGATGGCATGTATGTCATACTGGAGTTTTGTGTGTATATATTCTCCATGTATACATATTCACTATGCATGTATTAAGATCCGGGATAGAATAGGTCTTCAGCAACCCATTCGTGCTGTAAAAGGCGACTATGCTTGTCGTTAGAGGCGACTAAAGGGATCGGGTGGTCAGGCTCGCTGACTTGGTTGATGCATGTCATGGTATTCCAATTGCGTAGATCAATGCTAATGATGTCAATAACTGGATTGTCTTGTTCAGACTCGAATATTTACAGGCCGCCGTCATATTGCTGGAATGTTGCGGAGAGCGGCGTTAAACAACAAACAAACAAACAGCTATGTATGTATTCTCTGGCTCTATGTATTCGCTCTCCGTGTTGTCTCCGACTGAATGTATTATCTGTGCATATATTCTCAGTGTATGTATTCTGTGGATCCATGTATTCTCAGTGTATGTATTTTGAGGCTCCATGCATTCTCAGTGTATGTATTCTGTGGCTCCATGTATTCTAAGTGTATGTATTCTGTGGCTCCATGTATTCTCAGTGTATGTATTCTGTGGCTCCATGTATTCTCAGTGTATGTATTCTGTGGCTCCATGTATTCTCAGTGTATGTATTCTGTGGCTCTATGTATTCTAAGTGTCAGTATTCTGTGGCTCCATGTATTCTCAGTGTATGTATTCTGTGGCTCCATGTATTCTCAGTGTAAGTATTCTGTGGCTCCATGTATTCTCAGTGTATGTATTCTGTGGCTCCATGTATTCTAAGTGTATGTATTCTGTGGCTCCATGTATTCTCAGTGTATGTATTCTGTGGCTCATTGTATTCTCACTGTATGTATTATTTGGCTCCATGTATTCTCAGTGTATGTATTATTTGGCTCCATGTATTCTCAGTGTAAGTATTATTTGGCTCCATGTATTCTCAGTGTATGTATTCTGTGGCTCCATGTATTCTCAGTGTATGTATTCTGTGGCTCCATGTTTTCTCAGTGTATGTATTATTTGGCTCCATGTATTCTCAGTGTATGTATTCTGTGGCTCCATGTAAGTCAGTGTATGTATTCTGTGGCTCCATGTAAATCAGTGTATGTATTCTGTGGCTCCATGTATTCTCAGTGTATGTATTCTGTGGCTCCATGTTTTCTCAGTGTATGTATTCTGTAGCTCCATGTATTCTCAGTGTATGTATTCTGTCGCTCCATGTATTCTAAGTGTATGTATTCTGTGGCTCCATGTATTCTCAGTGTATGTATTCTGTGGCTCCATGTATTCTCAGTGTATGTATTCTGTGGCTCCATGTATTCTCAGTGTATGTATTCTGTGGCTCCATGTATTCTCAGTGTATGTATTCTGTGGCTCCATGTTTTCTCAGTGTATGTATTCTGTGGCTCCATGTATTCTCAGTGTATGTATTCTGTGGCTCCATGTTTTCTCAGTGTATGTATTCTGTGGCTCCATGTATTCTCAGTGTAGGTATTCAGTGGCTCCATGTATTCTCAGTGTATGTATTCTGTGGCTCCATGTATTCTCAGTGTATGTATTCTGTGGCTCCATGTATTCTCAGTGTATGTATTCTGTGGCTCCATGTATTCTCAGTGTATGTATTCTGTGGCTCCATTTATTCTCAGTGTATGTATTCTGTGGCTCCATGTATTCTCAGTGTATGTATTATCTGGCTCCATGTATTCTCAGTGTATGTATTATTTGGCTCCATGTATTCTCAGTGTATGTATTCTGTGGCTCCATGTATTCTCAGTGTATGTATTCTGTGGCCCCATATATTCTAAGTGTATGTATTCTGTGGCTCCATGTTTTCTCAGTGTATGTATTATCTGGCTCCATGTATTCTCAGTGTATGTATTATTTGGCTCCATGTATTCTCAGTGTATGTATTCTGTGGCTCCATGTATTCTCAGTGTATGTATTCTGTGGCTCCATGTATTCTCAGTGTATGTATTCTGTGGCTCCATGTATTCTCAGTGTATGTATTCTGTGGCTCCATGTATTCTCAGTGTATGTATTCTGTGGCTCCATGTATTCTCAGTGTAAGTATTCTGTGGCTCCATGTATTCTCAGTGTATGTATTATTTGGCTCCATGTATTCTCAGTGTATGTATTATTTGGCTCCATGTATTCTCAGTGTATGTATTTTGAGGCTCCATGTATTCTCAGTGTAAGTATTCTGTGGCTCCATGTATTCTCAGTGTATGTATTATTTGGCTCCATGTATTCTCAGTGTATGTAATCTGTGGCTCTATGTATTCTCAGTGTATGTATTCTGTGGCTCCATGTATTCTCAGTGTATGTATTATTTGGCTCCATGTATTCTCAGTGTATGTATTCTGTGGCTCCATGTATTCTCAGTGTATCTATTCTGTGGCTCCATGTATTCTCAGTGTATGTATTCTGTGGCTCCATGTACTCTCAGTGTATGTATTCTGTGGCTCCATGTATTCTCAGTGTATGTAATCTGTGGCTCCATGTATTCTCAGTGTAAGTATTCTGTGGCTCCATGTAT